CAGACAGACAGACAGACAGACAGACAGACGGACAGACAGACGGACAGACAGACAGACAGACGGACGGACGGATGGACAGACATAAACAACAGCGTGAAAGTAAAGATACGGGAACTACCATCAGTGGCACCCTCCAACCTTACGCACGGGCATTGATAAATCAAAACCACTGTTTGGGGTACGCACGTGTGAGTGAGTGAGTTGTACATCATTGCAAGATAGTGCATCATCGAACACAAATATAATGAGCGCATTCCTGTGATTGTGCTGAATCTTTTTATGTTCATGTTTTGGCATATCCACTCAAACTTTTCCTGGAGGACCTTATCTTACCTTATCTTCCCGTATCTTATCTATCTTATTTTAACTTACTTTACCTTAGTCAATATGTTTCAAAGACTAGCCCAACCACAAATCCCCCCCCCAAAAAAAAACACACACAAAAAAACAACAACCCAAAAATTAAAAAGACCCACAAGAACACTAAGAGACCAGGAATAAAATACAACAATGAAAGAGATATCAGTTTTTATAAACATCATCAACAACAACACCAACAACAAAAACAACAACAACAACGCACAGTTCCCCCGTTTGTATCTCAGGGACACATCAATATTAAACTAATCAATCCCCGATTTGCTGTGTTAGCATCCCTCTAATTGTATGCGTCCGTCGAAAACAGGCGTCCATAATTACACAAATATTTACTGGGTCCAACCTTCACAACGACACTGGTATGTCAAACACACAGACATTTATGAATTATTTTGCATTTGTGCGGGTGAGAAGGAACTCTTGCCAACAAACCCGAACAATGGATCCACAACTCTTCTCTCATCTGCAAACCGATAAGACACAAACGCGCACGCACGCACGTAAGCACGCAAGCATGCACGCACGCACGCACGCACGCACGTTCGCGCGCGCACACACATACACACACACACACACGCTCTCACACAAATACACATACACACACGTGCGGAAACACACGTGTCAGGTCTTACTGCCACACCACAGACGCCATTGA